GGTGCGACCCCTCAAACAAACACATCCGTGGAATCCTACAACGAGGCAGGTCGTTGTCATTCGGCTATTGCCTGAAAGTTTTCGCCCTCTGCTGCCGGCCTCCTCCTTTTGCTTGTGTTGTTACGCTTGTTCGCTTGGCTCTTGACTGGCAGTACGGCTGATTGGTCTGTTGTCTAGAAGCGTGGTTGGCAGTTGGTATGGGCAGAGTGCCGGCTGATCTGGTTGCGCGCGTTTATACTACGTACACAATGGTAGTCTCGCGGCCGCGCTTCAATTACAAGTATTGACGCTTCGCGCAAGCCCACCAGCCCATCCAGAGACGATGCCCCGAGGAGTTGCCTCGATCAGGGAAGTGGGCCGCACACAAGGGAAGGTTTCCTTTGGAACGCTCTTGGGTGCCTCGGGGAACCTCTTGGGGCCCCTTAGGGGGTCTCGCGGGAGTTTCTTAGAGGCCTCATGGGCGCCTCCTGTGCGCCTCTCGGGGCCCGCTTGAGGCGCTCTTGGGAGGCTTGTGAGCTCTAGAAATCGCCCCCCTCGGCAGCTCAAGAAATCGCCTCCCCTCTTGGGGCGTTCGTGGTGCGCTTTTGGGTGCTGTTGGGGCCGTCCTGGGGTTTTTTTCGCCTTCTCTTGGGGCCCTCATGGGCCCTCCTGGAACTGTCTTGCGGCCTCGGAAGGCCATCGGAAACGAATATGCGACAATGCACAATTCATATGTTTTTTTGGTGCTTGAAGGATGTTGTCCTCCTAGCGGCCTGCTGGGAAGGCCCCATGGCCACTCGGAGCCGTATTGGGGCGGTCTTGGGGCCTCTTGGAGGATTTGGGGGGCCATATTGAGCAACCTTGGGCTATCTTGGGCCATTTTGGAGGTCATCTTCGGATCTTTGAGGCCCTCCTAGCGCCATATCGGGCAATCGTGGACGTTCCAGCGACCCTTGACCCCCCTCCCCAGGTCCAGTGAAGGGGGGAAGGGGAGGGGTCAAGGTAACCACCCGCCCGCAAGCCGTTTGGCTCACTCCCACTCGCCCTCCCAACACATAAAGTATACCACGAGCCTGAGCATGTTCAGCGGTCGCTTTCGGATTGGCAGCTCATGGGGACCAGCGCCGGCCCAAGGTGCGCGACGCCTGGGCGAGGTGCGCCGCGCGCGTCAGGGGCGCCACGCGCGCCGCGCCAGGCCAGGACCCCTGGGGCCCGAGCGTGCCAGGCACGCCTGGTGCGCCAGGTGCGCCACGTGCTCCGCGTGCGCCAGGTGTGCCGCACGCTCCAGCCGCGCAAGGTGTAAAACGACGCGAAGATCGGGACAAAATCGGATCGGGATAACTCGAAATCTCTGATAATCGGCGGGTTTGGAGGGTGTGTTGGGCACCGCGGCCGCTCCAGAGCGTTCCGGAACGCTCTGAGAGCGCTCCGGAACGCTCTGGAGCGATTAATCCCGATCCCAGCCCTGTTTTAAGGTGCGCCATGTTTGGGGCACTTGCAGGGTGCCGCAGGTGCGTCTGCGCACGTGGCAGCACGCATCGAGAAACACGTCGGCCCCTGCCGTCCTCGTCGAGAGCAAGTGCCCATCATTGTGTCTGGGCCTGGGCACAGCAAGCCACGCGCCACCACCCCCGCCGTCCTTGTCAAGAACACTTTGACAGTGATCGCGGGATGGAGACGCATGATCCAGATTCAGCCGCGAGGTGCATGTTGCACTCTCTTTTGTCAGGGAGGGTAGCCCTGCGCTCAGCAGGGAATATACTGGCACCCCCGCTGTCCTTGCCAAAAACAATACAAGGTGCTCGCAGACATCACGAACATGAGTCAAGACTTTGCCCTCAGTGTTCTTTGCATTCTTTTTTGGGCAAGGATGGTGGTGGAAAGGGGGCGCATCGAGTTGGCCGCGCATGCTTCCAATGTGGAGGCAGGGTGCGGTTTGTATTTTTTTTGACAGGGATGGTGGGTGGCGGGCCCGCATGGAGTCGGCATGGTTCCTGGTGTGCCGCTGGCCAGGTGGGGGAGGGTGTGTGTATCGACAGAGGAACAGTAATGAGCCCCTCCCCGAAGGGGAAGACCACCTATACGCCCAGAGGGCCGGTGGATTTGCGAGGGCTCGCGGCTCCTGGAGCGCGCATTCCGTCGCTGCTGTCGTGGAGAAATGCGCGGCCTCGTCCAGGGCCGAAAGTTGCACGGCATGGCTGAAACGGGGGGTGGGTGAAACAAGTCAACGGCTAACACAGGTCATGGTAGTGAATGAACGCGCTTTCGTATAACAAATTATGGAGAGAGCGATGGGTGACTAAAGTGAAGAACGGATTCATTACATTGCGCCGCCGGGGCAAAACAAGGCAAGACATCAGTTAGTAAACGCAGGCGTCGGTGTACGAAACTCAGCACGAGTTTTCTGAATCCGGGGCCGTCTTTCTACATCCCAGGTCTTATCATTACCATGACCTGAGTGGCTCGACCTCAGTGGGCCCCCAGAAACAGCAGGGCCCTTTTTTTCGCCGTTTCCGCAGAAGTGTCCCTTGAAAATGAAAACGGCCAAAAAATGGCGACCGGACACGGCAACAAAAACGGCTCCAGGATTGGAACCGGGGCGGGAACTGGTAAAAGAACGGCGACGGAACAGGTAACAAAATCGGCGTCGGAGCCGTCACAAAAACGGCAAAACGGAATCGGTGAAGAAGCGGCCCTGTCGTTTCCAGGGCCCATGAAGGGCTCGACCAAGAAGGCTCTCGAGCACAGTCGTGTCGGCTGCGGGGAAGGGGGGGGGAGGGGGTCCCGTGGCCTCAGGGAAGAGAGGGTGCGACACGACGTGCCAGGCGGCTTGCGGCCGCGGAGCGCGAGCGGGTCGCAATGTAAGAGGCGCTGTGGCTCCAGGCGCGCGGAATGGATGGGCCTGTTTTCCACCACCACCACCACCATAAGTTCGAGGGGGAGGGGGGTCCGCCTCCTCCTCCGCCTCCTCCGCCTCCTCCTCCCCTTCGTCCTCCTCGTCCTCCTCCTCCTCATCCTCACTCTTTTCCTCCTCCTCCTTCCCCCCTCCAACTTATGGTGGTGGGGGTGGAAGACAGGCCCACCATGAAGGGTTGCAGTCTCGGGAGCGGGCGTCTGCGTTGGATCTAAAGGAAGGTCGCAGGCGATTGCTCGCTCCCCTCCCCCGACTTGTCATGCAGAAGGCACCGTGGCCCCAGCCGTGGCGCAACTTGCGATGAAGGCGGCTTCGGCAGCTGTCAGCAAAACGGGGGCTTGTGGGCCGGGGAGTGCGGGCCCGCCCGTCGTCCACCGAGGATCCTGTGGCCTCGGGAGCACGAGCGCGCAGCAGGAGGAGGAGGGGGAAGGGGGAGGAGGAGGAGCAGGAGGAGGAGGAGGAGGAGGAGGAGGAGGAGGAGCAGGAGGAGGAGGAATGAGGAGGAGGAGAGGAGGAGGAGGAGGGGGAGGAGGAGGAGGAGGACGAGGAGGTTCTACGCCCCCCCTCCCGAGGCCCTCCCGAGGCCCCCTCCTCCCGTGGCCTCGAGAGGGCCTCGGGAGGCGCGGAGTCCTTCCGTCGGCTGGGGAGGGGACGCGGCCTCGGGGGGCGCGGCAGCCTGCGCGGCAGCGTGCACAGGGGGGGCCGTGGCCTCGGGAGGGGGGAGGAGGGGGGAGGAGGGAGGAGGAGGAGGAGGAGGAGGAGGAGGAGGAGGAGGAGGAGGAGGAGGAGGACGAGGAGGAGGAGGGAGGAGGAGGAGGAGGAGGAGGAGGAGGAGGGAGGAGGAGGAGGAGGAGGAGGAGGGGGATGGGGAGCCCGGCCTCGCCGTGGCGCCCGACGTGTGCTGTGCCGCACGGGAGCGCGGGGGCGCCGTGGCTCACGGGGTGTGCGGTCTCGATCGCGCGAGCGTTTTTGTTTTTGTTTTTGTTTTGTTTGGTTTGTTTGTGTTTTTTCTCAAGATACATTTGATACATTTGTTCGCCCTCTTCTTCTGATCATTAGTCTTTGTAGTTTGATTCTTCTTCTTAAACATATATATATATATATGTATCTCTCTTTATATATATATATATACAACTTTGCGATGGATGGTGGCGGCGGGGGCGCGAGGCGCTTCGCGGCGGGTCCACAGCCCCTTTCCAAGAAGCGCTGAGTGCTTCTTGGACAGAGGCTGTGGCCTCGGGCGCGCGAGCAGCCCAAACGTCGATGGGCGGGAGGCTGCGGCACCGGAAGAGCGCGGCGCTGTTGCAGCACCGGTGGGCTTGCTTTCCACCGCGGCCACCATGAGCAGGAGGGGGAGGGGGTGCTCCTCCTCCTCTCTCCTCCTCCTCCTCCTCCTCCCCCTCCTCCTCCTCCTCTCCTCCTCCTCCTCCTCCTCCTCCTCCTCCTCCTCCTCCTCCTCCTCCTCCTCCTCCTCCTCCTCCCCCTTCGTGGCCCCCTCGCTGCCCTTTGTCGCTCCGTTGCAGCCCTTCGTGGCCCCCTCGCTTTCCTTCGTGGCTTGATATAGATATGCCCTTCGTGGCCCCCGTTCGTTCGCGCCCGTCGTGGCCCCATATGCATGCGCCTCGTGGCCCCGCTGTCGCCTTTCGTGGCCCCTTCGGTGCCCTTCATGGCCCCGTTGCTGCTTTCAGTTGCTCCGTCTTTGCCCTTTACGGCCCAATATACGTATGCCCTTCGTGGCCCCCGCTCGTTCGCGCCCGTCGTGGCCCCATATGCATATCATGCGTGGCCCAGCTGTCGCCCTTTGTGACCTCCTCGCTGTCCTACGGGGCCCCGTTGCTACCTTTAGAGGCCCCGTCGTTGCCCTCTGTGGCCCCGCATTATGTGCCCTTCGTGGCCCCCGCTCGTTCGCACCCTTCGTACCCCTATATGCATGCCCTTCGTGGCCCCGTGTGCTTCCAGCTACTTCGTAGATTCGAGCCTCGGCGGCCATGGAGCGCGCAGCAAGTGCACGCAGCCAGACACGCGCGTCTGCCCGCGGCGTGCGGGCAGGCTCTCTCCAGCTCGTCTCCCTCTCCACGCGCCGTCGGGCGCTCGCGCTGGGCGCCAGGTGTCCCTCTGCGGGTTCATGCGGATGGGGGGCGAGCAGGCCTTGGGGGCGATGAAAAGCGTCTTCTGCGTAGGCTGGGAGTCACCCACGATCAGGCCCCATCAACAATGAAAGTCGGGGGGGAGGGCAGAGGAGGAGGAGGAGGAGGAGGAGGAGGAGGAGGAGGAGGAGGAGGAGGAGGAGGGGGTTGGAGGAGGAGGAGGAGGAGGAGGAGGAGGAGGAGGAGGAGGAGGAGGGGGAGGAGGAGGAGGAGGAGGAGGGGGAGGAGGAGGAGGAGGAGGAGGAGGAGGAGGAGGAGGAGGAGGAGGAGGAGGAGGAGGAGGAGAACGAGGAGGAGGAGGAGAGGAGGAGGAGGAGGAGGAGGAGGAGGAGGAGGAGGCAGGAGGAGGAGGAGAAGGCCGACGAGGCTGACGGGGGGACGTTCTTTCTCCGCGGAGGCGGGGCGGGGTTTCTCCCAGGTCCGGGAAAACGATAGGGGGGGGAGTGTCGAGGCGGTGTTTGGGGGTGGAGCCTGGCCAGTTCCAGAGCGGGGGGGGGAGTTGGGAGCTTGCACCAGCGAAGAATGTGCACAGTTTAGGCTCGCTCATGCCTAGCCATCGCCGCAACCCTGGCCAGGCCAGGCGCGTCATCCTGGGCCCAGGGCTCGGCGCAGGTGCCTTTCCCTGGCGGGGCGGGGCGTGAGAGGATCCCACGCCTGCTGCGGGGGCCTGGCCAGGGGCGGTGGAGACGTACAGTGGAGACCCACGCTAAGAAACACCCTGCTTGCCTCCAGGGTGCCCTGGGTTTCGTGAGCTTCGACGGTTCTGCTATGGAGAGCGTGACGTTCCCACACCGAGAGTCAGTGGCCGCCCCGGGGTCTCCGGGTTGGGTTTCTTGCGGAGGGTTTCTTGTGGTCGGGCCCCTGCTGCACAGACCTCGCCGCCCCGAGGCCAACTCCTCGCTCACGCTGCCCATGGTGATGACGGAGGGGGCCGGCGTTGTCGCGCCCGACGCCAGCCACGACGGGCTGCGGGTGACCAACCCGGCCGAGGAGCTGAGCTCGACCACGACGCTGCCGTACGTTGTGGTCACCAAGGGCGCGTCCTGGTCGGGGGACGCCAGCGTGGCGACCGTCGAGGCCTGCCGCGGTGGGCAGGATCGCAGCTGGCAGGTGGCGGGGCTCAGCTCAACCGAGGCTCAGCCAGAGCCCAGATCCTGAAGAAGTCTGTTCAGGAGGAGGAAAACACGAAGGCACAACTAATCGACGATCCCCAGGAAAATGTAGGAAAATATGGGAAGGGGGGGGATTCGAAAGCCCAGAAAATATATGAACATAGTGGGAATCCTGGGTTTTGTGCTCATTTATTTGTGTGTCCCAGGGCCCCTTCATCCGTGAAGGCGCATTTGGACTGGGGCCGGGTTTGGGGGCCGCTCGCGGCTCTGGAGGTGGCCTTACATATACTGGGAAGGCCTAGCGGCCGGTGCCGCCGACCCTGAAGGGGGACCGCAACAACGGCGGCGGCGGCAGCGGCGACGACGACGCTGACGCCTCTCTCTTGGGGCTCTCTTGGGGGTCTCTCGGGCTCTGTTGGGGCTTGGGCTTTGGCCGCGGCTGGGGCCAGGGCCAGGGCTGGGGCCGAGGCCGAGGCTGGGGCCGCAGCCGGGGCCGGGGGCGAAGGGGGCCCGGGCCCGGGGGCCAGGGGCGCCAGGGCCAGGACCCATAGGCTGCGGCGCCCCCATGGGCTGTGGGCCGCGTGCGGGTCCAGCTGCCAGAGCCGGAGCGGGGGGGTCCGGGGCCGGAGCGGGTGCCCGCGGGCGCGGTGGGAAAGCGCATATATCTGGGTGGCGATCCAGGCCCCCCCCCCCCCGGACCCCTCTGGGACCCCCCCCCCCAGGAGCCCCGCGGGACCCGCGCGCGGGACCCCTCCTGGAACCCCACGCGTGATCTCCCGGCCCCCCCCCCCCCCTCCCGGCCCCCCCCCCCCTCCCCCCTTCCTGGCGTGGGGAAGGGATCGAAGGGAAAGGGCTTCCCGTCGCTTCCACTCCGACGTGGTTCAGTTTTGCTCTGGGCGGCGCGTATGCAGAAGAGGGTCCAGGCAAAGGCAGCAGAGGAGGACGGAGACGACGACTCCAACGGAAACTCCCGACTTGAACGGGAAAGCCACTCACACACTGACACACGCCGACAGGGTCGGCGGATTGGTTGAGCCTGGTTTGGGAAGCCCCCCTACCAATGGCAGCGCATCTTCTCCTGAATTGGTTGAGCCAGGTTTGCGCTGAGCTACCACCCTCAAAGGGTGATGCGCAATCTTTATGAAACGTTCGAACAATAAACAACCAGACGCGATTCCCAGACGAGTTGCCTTAATCCGGGAAGTGTAGGAGCAAGCAGTGGAACAAAGATGGGGTGCAGCCATCAAATTGAAGCTCGGAGTCAGACTGAGCAAGCCCTTGAGTCAACCAGAAACGCCTTCGCCGACCATTCGCTATGGGAACCTGTTAGAAGCTTGTTTGGACCACCTTGGTGCCCCCTCGCGGCGATTTGGGGGGCTTTGGTTAGGAGGGGATCAAGCACACAGACACAACTAGTTGTCGACCCCCAGGAAAATATGGGAAGGTCAGGGAAGCGGGGGTGACGACGAAAACCCGGGGAATATGGGAAAATATTGGGAATCCTGGGATTTGTGTCTCTTTTTGTGTGTGTGTTGTGTGTGTGTTGTGTGTGTGTGTGGTATGTGTGGTGTGTGTGTGTGTGTTGCGTGTGTGTTGTTTGTGTTTGTGTTTGTATTTGTGTTTGTGTTTGTGGTTGTGGTTGTGTTTGTGTTTGTGTTTGTGTTTGTGTGTGTGCCCGCTTAGCTACGACCGGAAGAGGTGCGCTCTCGACCCGCGGATCAAAAAGTGTGTGTGTGTGTGTGTGTGTGTGTGTGTCCCAGGGCCCCTTTGTTTGGGCGCCCTCTTGGGGAGCCCCTTTGGGGCTCTCCTAATTAGGGGGCCTGCTGCAGGCACGCGCCCCCCCCCTCGTCAAAAGAGCGCCACGGATCAGGGAAGCAGCGGCGCTCGTTGGCCTATACAGCGTCGTCCCAAACAATGTCGAGTCTCCAAAAACCCAACAAGGTCAAGCGTCCTCGGCGCCAAGACCGCCCCAAGAGGGGCCCTGGACGCCCCCCGGCGCCCCCAAGTGGCCCTCTGAGAGGCCCCCCAGCGGCCCCCAAGAACCTTCGCTGGGTGGGGGGGAGCCGAAAAAACTCGGGAGAGGAGAAAGCAATCGTGACCACGAGCCGCCCGGATGGGCTCAGTGCAGTGCCGTTTTTAATACATGCTCCGCGTGCGGATCATGTATTGAAAAGGCAGGGATGTAGTGTCAAAAAACAACGATTAGTTCATGCATGAATGTAATCATAAGCTAATCATGTATTAACATTCCTTTTTGTTTGAAACATCCCATGTATTAAAAACTGCCCTGTGCGCACGTCGGGGCCCGAACGGTGACCTCCTGGAAGCGATCTTTGGGGGCTATTGGACGATCTCGAGGCCTCCTTGGCGCCACAGTTGGGCGAGCGAGCGAGGGGGGGGGGGAAGTGAGCAAGAGAAGGCCTTCTCAGGAGGTTGGGAAGTTCCTCGGCCTTCAGAGGAGTTTTCTCCGCCTTCCCCGGCGACGCAACCATTTTTTCAGAAGGCGCGAGGGTTTCTGAGAAGTCCCGCCGCCTTCTGAGGAGGCCTTCTCCTGCTCACTTTCCCCCTCTCGCTCGCCGCCGACTGATGGCACCCCGATGTGGGGGCTCCCCTGGACGATCCTGTAGTCACGCTGGTGCCTCAGAAGCTCCTCGGAGCGGCCTGGGAATGCGCGTGCAGCTGGCACGAGGGTGCACTGCAACCCCAGCCTGCGAGGGAGGGGTACTAGCGCACACACGTCGGTCGTTGAAAGTAGGCTTTCTTCGATCCCCAGATCCCAATCTGCTTCAAGCGCCTGCCTGCAGCAATCATCGACATGCGTTCCTGTGTTTTGTTTTTTTCTCGGCGAGGGCCTGGACCTTTGTGGGCCCCGGAAACGGCAGGGCCGTTTTTTCGCGGTTCCCCAAAAATTGTCCGTTGAAAGTGGAAACGGCAAAAAAACGGCGACCGGAAACGGCAACAAAAACGGCTCCAGGATTGAAACCGGAGCAGGAACCGGTCAAAAAACGGCGACGGAACCGATAAGAAAACGGCGTCGGAACCGGCAGCAACAACGGCAAAACGGAAACGGTAACAACAACGGCTTTGTCGTTTCCAGGGCCCACTAACTTAGTCACTAAGGCAAGGGCTCCCCCGAGGGCGCGAAGTTATTCGCGCTTCGCGCTTCGCGGTCCTCGTTTCTCCTCCCCCTCCTCCTCGTCCTCCTTTTCTCCCTTTGGGGGGGCGGCGCGAGAGCGCGAAGTTATTCGCGCTTCGCGCTTCGCGGAGCGCGAAGCGCGAAGTTGGGAGCCCTAGCTAAGGCCTGGACCCAGTCTACTTGATCCGCCCTCCTACTCCATGTCTTTACCTGCTTCCGTCCGCCTTGCCTGCTCTGCGCGCTCGGACGTCCCCCTCTGCCATGCCCTGTCGTCTTGGGGCATCTGCATGGGGCTTGGGCCTTTGGGTGAGGGGCTCACCCTGGGGCTCCCACATCCACGCTGTCTGCGTGGCTGGCGTGGAAACAAAGGTTTTTTTTTGTTTCTTTTTGTTGTTTTCAAAAAATGCGGAGATTTGTGATGATACCATAGGGTTACTCTAGTTTAGCAAACACCTGCAAGTTTCACACAGCAACATCATGAGTGTCGAGTTGCCAGCGTTCCTGGCGAGTGTAAATGTCCTGTTTGGAGCGTCATGTATGTTACCGGCGAACGTGATTCTTCTACATCTGTAACCAGATGCGCATCGACGTGTTGTCCCCGTGCCTTCCTGACGTCTGTTGCACATGATTCTTGGCCCCATAGGGCGCTCCACCGATCGGAGGCCCCAGTGGAAGGGTCTGCATGCAGTTCCACCCACATTTCGGCGCACCCCTCACACGCTTCGCGGCCCCATTGGCGTGCTCCACCAAAAGCCACAGTGGCGGGGTCCGCGCGCAGTTCCACCTCGATGTCGGCGCACCCCTCACGCGCTTCGTGGCCCCATGGGTTGCTCCACCGACACCGGTGGCGGAGTCCGCATGCAGCTCCACCATGTCGGCGCACCCCTCACACGTTCCGTGGCCCCATAGGGTGATCAACCGAATCAGGGGTAGCGATGGGGTCGCCGAGGGGCACCTAGGGACATCCCGAGACACCCAGGGACACGCGCGGACACTGAGGGACATCCAGGGACACCGAGGGCCACCGAGTGACGTCCACCCAGGGACACGCGCGGACACCGAGGGTGCATCCAAGGACATATAGGGACATCCAGAGACACCGACGGACAGCCAGGGACATACTCAAAACCATCCATGGACACTCAAGGACATCCAGGGACATCTAAGGTAGGTAAATGCAATCACAGCGCTAATCGCATCCAGGGGCATGGCCTTGTCGCCCCAGGGACACCAGGGACACGCGCGGACACCGAGGGACATCCAGGGACACCGATGGACATCCAGGCACATGCGCGGACACCGAAGGAGATCCAGGGACAACGAAGGACATCTAGGGACCTTGAGCGACATCCAGGGACACCGAGGGACACCGAGGGACATGCACGGACACCGAGGGACATCCAGGGCCACCAAGGGACATCCAGAGACACCGAAGGACATCCAGAGACGCTTAGGGATGCGGTTTTTGTTTTGGACGCATTGTCCTATATGTCCCCCGATGTTCCCGCAGGCGCGCTCACCTGCAGATGTATTCCAGCGTGTCCCTGGATGATCTTGGGCGCCCCCGTTCGGCGTGCAAGCGGGCCTCAAATATAATGTGTGTTGACATTTGAATGGTTCGTCTATGCATATGCACACCTGTATATATATATATATATATATATATGCGTATATATGTACATGCATGTATGTTTTAGACATGCACATCGCCTTCTACGTACATACACATCCAGACGCATGCTTGCATGCATATATCCTACATGTGCATATACATTCAGAACGGCCTCGATCTACCATCGGCGATCGCCGACGGCGAGGCGCGCTTTCTGAGGGGTCGCCGGCGCGGAGGCCCGCGAAGCTGTGCATCTCAGATTCACACATCCTCTTATTCGAACTCATACCTTCGCGCCCCACTTATCCAATTCCCGTTCCCGAGGGCCTTACCGTATTCCGCTGGTTATCCTTCTCCGCCTCCTGCTCTTCCCATACTTGCCTCCCCCTGCATATCTAGCTTCCCCCCCTCCTCCTCCTGCTCCTCCCACTGTCGCTGGACGCACGCCACGCGGCAGCCTGCCAGAAGACGTCGATGGCGGGCGTCATCGAGACTCGACTGCCGAGACTCGACTCGACTCCACTCGACTCGACTCGACTTGATTGCCGTGACTTTCCGATCGTCCTACGGCCACCCCACAAACAATTTAGCATTTCGCATACGCTTTGCATCTTAGACCCCAGTCGAGGCGCGCCTCGCCCGAGCTCCACTGGCGCAGTTGTCACCGGCTACAATTTGCCACATATGCGTATTGTTTTAAGGAGTTTTCATGAGTTGTTCCATTACAGTTCGTATGCAAGCGGCGGTGCAGGACATGATTTCTTTACGTTAGGCCTGGTTTCCCTTGCTTGAAACAGGGATTCCTGGAGTTTCCCTGAATTTGAACCAGTCCGCGGATGTCCGCAGATGTCCGCGGTTGTTTTTTGTTCTGTCCGCGTTTGTGATGTTTTGTCCGTCTTTGTCTCTTTTTGTCTGCCTCCGCTGTCCGCGGATGTCCATTTTTGTCCGCGTTTTTTTTTGTCCGCGTTGGTTCTTTTTTGTCTGCGTTTGTCTCTTTTTGTCAGCGTTTTTTCTTTTTGTCCGCGTTTGTCCCTTTTTGTCAGTTGTTCTCCCTTTTGTCCGCGTTTGTCCCTCTTTGTCCGCGTTTGTCCCTCTCCGCTGTCCGCGGGTGTCCGTCGATTTCCGCGTCAGTGACCCGCCGATGTGCCCGCGCTTGTCCCGTACTGTTCCGTTAGAGTGTCCTTCTTGCGCTGTCTTTGTTGAGGTAGTTTTATCACTATCTCGCGTGGACGTTGACGTTTTGCTTGTCCCGCCATCTTGGGAGTTTGTCTCATGTGAGAAACAAATTTCAGGAGGGACAAAAACACAGACACAATTAATCGTCCATTCCCCAGAAAATATGGGAACATATGGGAAGTGGGGGGGAAGACAAAAACCCCAAAAATATGGGAACATATTTTTATTTGTGTGTATTTATTTGTGTGTCCTGGGGCCCCTTTAAGATTGGCTTGTGCATTGATATCGTGCCATATTGGGATCCGCCAGCCCGTCACAGTGCGGACAGGGGGCCCCACGGAGCCCCAGCACTGCGGACAGCGGTGCCCCTGGGCGGCCCCGCATTTGTGGACATCGGCGGCCTCGCGCGGTCGAAACCGCGGACGTCGGGCCCTGCGGGGCACAGTGTCGCGGACATGGGGCCATTTTTGCAATCATAGTGTCAAAAACTCGAAGAATCCATTGTGCGATTGTGCGTTTTTGAACCCAAAGAACTCAAAAAAAACTGAAAGAACTCAGACACTCAAAGAACTCAAAAAAGAGTGTCAAAAACTCAAAGAACTCAAAAAGTCAAAGAACTCATTGTAAATGGGCCAACAACCCAAATCGGTGGACGTCGGGCCCTCATCGGGCCCCAAAGGCGCGGACATCGGGCCTTTCAGCGGGCCCCAAACCGCGGACATCGGGCCGACCTGCCACGCCGGCAGCAGGAAGCCTCCGCGCGCGCCACGCGCGCCCCACGCGCCCGTACCTTCGAGGCCGGCCACGAGGGAACCTCGGAGGGTCCTGCGCCAGAGACCAGATTTTATCGTTTTCGTTATGAGAAATAACAATGCCCTTGAGTCTCTGGAACCTGCCATTTGCATTACATTCGCATGCGTCAGACACTGTTCCCATGTAAATTATGTGATATACATATCACAATCATTCGTGTCATGAATACTGTGTTCGACTGAATCATATAACATTTTTATTTATGCATATCATGGAAGGATGAATTATGGTATGTTCGTTTCTATGGGATATTATGAAGCGCGTTGCAATTCAACTTGTTGAACTGAAGTACATGGAATTCTATGCACGTGTGCGAATAGTTTATAAAAGTGTGCCAGCGGCCATCGATCGCCCATGCGCACGCGATATCTGTTACAGTTCCTGCCCCACGATAGGTTTCACGCGTGTGCGTTATATCGTATGTGTTGAATCTAGCAGTAGGTCAAATAGTTGCTACTATATGATCATATTGCAGTGCATATACCAGATTGTATAACATACACATTGTGTGACAGTTTTATACACATATGCAGATCTTCATGTACACACATGTGCACTGTATTATATATTATGTTATGTGTCACAGCAACTCTTGCGTCTAGTGTGCTGTGCTTGTGGCTGGAATTATGTGAGCGCTATTGGTTCGGATGTTGCGTCGCAGCTATGTGCAAATTCCGAGTCCAATTCCCCCCTCCCCTCCTCTTCCTCTGTTCCTCCTCCTCCTTCGCCTCTCCATACAATGCCCCCTTTCCATCCTCATCCGCCCCTCCTCCATATATGCTTCCCCCATGCTCCGCCGCACCCCCGCCTTCTCTCTGTATTATCCTCCTCGCCGTCCTGCGGTGTGTGTGTATACATATAAATATATATAGATATGTATACACATGCACATGTTCATATACACACATACACATATATATATATATATATATATATATAAATATATACACATATATGTATGTGTTTCTGCCCTACCTATGGGGCCTCCTGGGGCCCCTCGGGGTCCCAAGACCCTAGGGGTCGGGCGGACCCTAACAGGCCAGTCGGGTCGGGCTGTGTCCAGTCGGGCGGGCGGATCAGAACGGGCAGGTCGGGTCGGACGAGCGGGACATGAAGGTGTGATGCGCCATCGAAGCTTGCACGCGCGTACCCTAACGGGCGGGTCGGGTCGGGCGGGCGGGGCAACATGACAACCAGCAACCATGCATCAACACAAGAAGCAGCGACCAGCCACTACCGCAACCAACCACCAACCAACTAACACACACCAGCTACAACGGACAAACACGAAAGCAATACCAACACCAGCAGCGACAACAGCAACAGCAACAACAACAACACAACACCAAAGACACCAACAACACCATCACCACCACCAACAACAAACGCAGCACACGCGAACAAACAAGGACACGACGGACATCTGCGGACATACGAGGACACACGCGGACAACCCGGGACAACCAAGGACAAGAAGGGACAATATTTAGTAGTCAAACGGGCCGCGCGGACAACACGGCATGCTCTTGAGCCACGTCTTAGTGGGGCCCGGAAACGGCAGGGCCATTTTTTCAGCGTCTTCGAACAAGAAGCGCGTGAAAGTGGAACCGGTAAAACAAGGCGACAGGAAACGGCCCAAACATGACTCCGGGATTGGATCCAGAACCAGAACCCGCAAGCAATCGGCGACGGAACCGGCAACACAATTGCGACGGAACTTGCCACAAAAACGGCAAAATGGAATTTGTGAACAAAACGGCCCTGTCGTTTTCAGGGCCCACCAAGAGCCATGCTGCTGCTGCGACCATGCTTGGACTGCGTCGATTTGGCGGGTGCGTGAACTTCCCCACCTCTCTCGCTCTTCCAGCGAACGTCGGCTCGACGCCCTTCCTGCGCCGTCACGGTCGGCCTCGCCCCACCCCTTTACCTTGTTTCGGTGTCCAATCATGGGCCCGCGGTCAGTGAGAAGGGGGCAAAGCACACACAAAACTGATCGTCGATTTCTATGAAATTTGGTAAGTTATGTGAAGTGGGGGCGAATGCGAAAACCCAGAACATGTCGGAACATATGGGGAATCTTGGGATTTCTGTGTGTGTGTTTATTTGTGTGTCCCTGGGCCCTTTGAGTCGCGCGGAGCCGTCCTGGCTTCGCTCAGAAGACCGCCAGAGACTGCCGGCTGCCACCAAAGACCGCCGAAGCACCGCCGAACATGCCGCCGAGCATCGCCGAAGGTGGGCGAGTACCCAGACATCCGACAAGAAGATGATGTTCAAAGCGCGACCCCAGAGGTCCCGACGCATTCCCCAGGGGTAGATGTCCGTCCGTGATTTGTATTTGCTGGTCTTTGGGCCCTCCGTTGGGCCCCCACGGTCCGAAATCAAGGAGGACTGTCAGGATCGAGCACAACAGACCGGCGGAGGTTTGGGTAACAGGGGGTCCATGGTCGATCGGCGTGGCCAGAAGCATCTTCTCCTCCTCCTCCTCCTCCTCCTCCTCCTCCTCCTCCCTCCTCCTCCTCCTCCTCCTCCTCCTCCTCCTCCTCCTCCTCCTCCTCCTCCCTTCTCTCCCTTCTCCTCCTCCTCCTCCTCCTCCTCCTCCTCCTCCTCCTCCCTTTCTGATTCAACGCTCATTTCCTGTATGGTATGGCTGTACGCCAGGCCGGGCACGCGCCCGAGGCACGCGCAGAGTCGAGAGAGCAGGCGAAGCTGCACCTCGTGCTTCTCCAAGAGAGGCGGGCTGGCTGCGAAGCGCCAGAATGCCACTTCCGTCGGGCTCCGGCTGGCAAGGGGCAGGCTGCGCACGGAGGGCTCGGCAGAGCGGGTGGGCTCGTTGGGGATTTCGCGGGGCCCCGATCGAGTTGATGCGGAAGTCTCCGCGCAGCGTCGCCAGAGAAATGAGAGGCACGCCGTCTCTTGTGCATGCACACGCGAACGGCCCATGCCAAGGGGGGCCTGGCAAATGACAGGACTTCCTTCCGCCTTTCGTCTCCCTCCTTCCTGGGCTGCTGCTCATGCTCCTCCTGTGCTGCTGCTGCTGCTGCTGCTGCTGCTGCTGCTTTTGTGCTGCTGCTGCTGCCGCCGCTGCTGCTGCTCATCTTCCCTCCTCACCTCCCTCTCCGCCCTCCTTCCCTTCCGTGACTTTCGAGTCGAGAGCTTCCCTCCCCCCCCCAATCCACCTCACCTCTGCTGCGGCCAGACGCTGCCCCCGGGCACCGTGGACGCGTGTGCCCCGGCGGCCATGCCCATAGTGGCCATGCCGGTGACGAAGGACTTGGCTCAGGAGGGAAAGAAACACACAGACACAATTAATCGCCGACCCCCAGGAAAATATGGGAAACTATGGGGAGTGGGGGGGAAGTCAGAAACCCAGAAAATATAGGAAAATATGGGGAATCTTTTTATTTGTGTGTATTCATCTGTGTGTCCCATGGACCCTTCAGACTTGGCGGCGGGCAGGGGGGCCTCGCGTCGGTGCCAGCCTTTCCGGGCCGTGCCGAGACGGAAGCCGGCCTGGCGTCCCTGAGCATCAAGCAGTGGCGAAGCGTCCCGGCTCGCCTATAGCCCCACCAAACAATGTTCTAAGAATTAATTGTGGTTCCCAGGAAATGTTCTTAGAACATTTCTGGCGGAGTCTGTCTTGTTTTATCACATCGGGTTTATGTTCTAAGAACATGGTTTTGGTTCTCAGAACATGTTCGGGCTCTAAGAACATTTCGCGGTATGACTATAGAAATGCCGGGACGATCGGTCCCTGCTCAAAGGGCAGGGGCTCCGAGCTTGGACCTCTCGAGCGAGGCCCGTGCAAGGTCCCTGGGGACACCGAGTGCTGGCCAGCAGCGCTGGATCCGCACGAGAGATGGTCCAAGCTTTCAAGAGGGTTGTCCTTTAGATTTGTCCAAGCTGTCCAGAGGATTTTCCCTGCGTCGTTGCTGCAGGGTGAGAGCTGCATCTCAGAAGCCACCCACTCCATTCTTCAGGCTGTCGCAAACTTTTGAGCCGAACGTGCGCGGCTCTGAGGCGAGAGCCGCATTCTGAAACTCACTCGCCCTCCGCTGTTGATGATGTATGGGTTCCTTTGTAGCTATATGTTCGTAAAACAAGTGTGCCAAACAAATCTCAAGCGAGACGCCCCTCCTGGCCTATGGAGACGTCCAGAGGTGCGACAGGATGGGTGATGTATAAGGAAGTGGTTTGTGGAGGGGAGGAGGAAGAAGTAAGGGAGGAGGAGGAGGAAAAGGTGGAGGAGGAGGACCCGACCATGGCAGGGGCTGGTTGGATCCAATGGTTTCTGCAAACCAGGACCCCTTCACGGCGCCCTTCAGCAAGATGGCGTGCGGGATGAACCTGCAGTTGTCGGAGGACTCATCGCTCTCGACGTTCGTGCCAGCTTGGCGACGCTGGCGGTGAGGAGGAGGAGGAGGAGGAGGAGGAGGAGGAGGAGGAGGAGGAGGAGGAGGAGGAGGAGGAGGACATGGGAGCAGGAGTGGGGGCGTTTGAGGAGGAGAGGAAGGCGGAGGGGGACTTGGTGACTTTTGCGCTTGGTCGATGAGCATAGCTGTGTGGATTTTGGCCCAGCGAAATTGCATTCGTAATTTTCTGTGGGGGTCTGAC